ATCAATAAGTTACGAACTCTGTTGACATTTGCCGCTGTTCTGCTCGTTGAGGGTCTGCCAGACAGAGGGTCATCTCTGATGGTTTGCCGCCCTTCACAGAAACGCTTAAACCACACATACAATGTCTTTTGAGTTACAGCTTCACTTCCGTACACAGTTATGAACATTTCATGGGTTTCAAATGCCAATTTACCCAATTTGAAACAGAATTTCATATTGACTCTTTGCTACATTTTCAATCACAACACACTGCACTATTAACAGCTACTAAATGCTACTACATGAATGTAGGCCTGTCAACAAATGTTGAACCACGTGCGCATGCTAGCTGAGATACAGACGAACACCTCCCACGTTTCTCTGCGAATCCAGCAGTTCCCATTATTGCACACAGGGGTGATTCACCTTACTTTCTGGTCACACCTTGTAGATTCATAGAATTGGAAAGGACCTCAAAACATCACATATTCCAATCCTCCCAGCCTCCGCTTAACAACGACTAATTAAGGAGAGACAACCACCTTCCAAAGCCATCAGTCCCACTGTCAAACAGCATGTGTCATCAGGCAGTTCTTCTTAACGTTATGTCTAAAGCCATTTTCTTGCAATTTGAGCACAATAGCTTGGGTCCTACTCTCTGGAGCGACAGAAAATCAATGTAACCCTTATCAGTATGAATAATAGTAATTATTAGTCCTTTATATCTGCCAGCCCTTTCCAAGATTTGAAAATGGCCTCTATCACATCACCTCTTAGGGAGCAATCCCATACACAGGAAGGTGGTGTAAAGCAAGCCAATGTAAATGAAGCCAGCTTTAAGTTACACCAGATCTAAACTCCATTCAGCAGCACCCTTTTTGCTGGCTTAACTTATGCAGAGTTGCTAGGTGACATGGCCAAGCTGAACGGGTTTAGGATCCAGCCTAAGTCTCATCTCTCTGGCCCCACCCTTAGAACACCCATTTTCAGGGCTTACATTGCCTTAAGATCCACTAGACTCAACTCAGTTGGGTTGGGTACCAGCTTAGCTGGGATGGGGGAGTATATACAGGTATATCACCCACTGATCTGCAGTGAGAATAAGAGAGTTAAGCTGGACCCTAACCCTAACCCTAGCCCTGCTGCGTCAGGAACCTTCCAGCCCAGCCAGAGAGCCACTGGATCCTAACCTGTTCATCCCAGTGGATCTTGCTGGGCTGGAGACTCATCTAACGATGCAGTATTTATATAGTTGTCAGGACCTGTTAATACTGACAAGTTTGCAGCAACCTAAGTCTCTTGATGCAGCTTGCAATGCTACATGGCGAAGCATATTCAGAAAAACATTCAAGAACTGTTGAAACCCTTTACTGTCACAAAGATACATGACTTTTTTTTTAGCTGCTTTAAAAATCCCTATGCCTAAATGAAAACCACCATATCCACCCATCTCAATGACTTAGGAAATACTTCTGAAGCAGCAGGTCTCCCACATAAACAGTATTTCACTATATGCACAATTAATAACATTTCCCCCTCTCTGCCACCTTAATTTTGCTCCATCTTTTTTATATATAAAGCAATTATAAGCCTTGAATGACGATGCCTTTGCCGTCCCTACAATTAATAACATTCCCCCCTGCTAGATTCAATTCAATGGAAATATGCCCTGACAGCCATCAGCAGAGTGAATGAAACCAGCTCGCAAATTCTATAGGAGGCGTATACTTTTTTTCCTTTTCTTTTTTGGTACCAAGGTTGAGGCTATGTAGAAAGATGGTGACAACAGAAACAAAACCCCGTAGCCTTTGATTAGTTTAGCCGACATCAAATGGCAAATCGGGCATTCAGAGTCAACACTATAGGAGGCCTCGCAGAGGGAGAGCGGGGAGGGCTGATCCTTCAAACCACTTGCACACACAGCCCGCCAACGAGTTTCAGACAATGCCATTTAAACTACCTTTAGAAGACCCCTTGTCCATTTGTACGCACAGTCTGCCCACCCCCATACAACACTTTGCAAGGCTTTCCTCCTGCATGTACCCCAGAAGCCTTTCAAATGGGAACTTTACTCTCTGCTGAAATAGTTGGTGTTGCAAGGAAACAGCAAGGGATGGTATTCAGACTGCAATTAAACCTGAACACCGTGCCCCTCTCTCCAAGGCAAGGGTGTTGTTTGCATCACGGTCCTCTCTCTTGGCCTCTCCTTGACTGTTATTAGGTGCTGGGCTTTCCCCCTCCCCTTCCGCAACGACCGTCCCCATCTCCCCTTCCGACAGGTCATGGTTAAAGAGTGGAGCTGGCAAACCCATTATATACCATATTGGCCTGAATATAAGCCTCCCCCCCCATTCCAACCATGAGAAGTTAAAGTGCAGCTTATACAGTGGTACCTCGGGTTAAGTACTTAATTCATTCCGGAGGTCAGTTCTTAACCTGAAACTGTTCTTAACCTGAAGCACCACTTTAGCTAATGGGGCCGCCGTGCCGCCAGAGCACGATTTCTGTTCTTATCCTGAAGCAAAGTTCTTAACCTGAAGCACTGTTTCTGTGTTAGCGGAGTCTGTAACCTGAAGCATATGTAACCTGAAGCATATGTAACCCGAGGTACCACTGTATTTATGACCTAATGGTATGCAGCCAGGAGCGTGGGGCAAACAGCGCCAGGAGCGCGGCAAAAAGGCGCCCGCCCTGCATGTGGTCCCCCAAGGCCATGAAGGGAGAGAGCGAGGAAGGGGAAAGGCCGCCAGCAACGCAGCACGGCTCCCACCCTCCCCGGCCAGTGTGCAGCCAGGAGCAGCGAGGAGGGGAGTGGCTTATATTCGGGTATTTTTTTTCTCTCCCCTTCCCTCCAATTTTAAAGGTGCGGCTTATATTCAGGTGCAGCTTATATTTGGGCCAATACGGTAACATGGAGCTGTGCTTATTGTTTCGGTTGCAAGGCACTGGGTTGGCCAAAGTGGCCTCATTTGCTTAAGTTCCTTGAGTTCAGTGAGGTCATTTTTCTCATCTTCTCCTGTTTTCTGTATTTTCCACAGGCATGCGAGCCTCAAACAACACCCTCTTTCTTCATATTAGAAATGGAAACACGTCCTCTGCAGGAATTTTCCACTTAATAGCTTGTGCTTTCCTACCGGGGGCCTCAGTGCACCACTACTGCAATGCTGTATTTCTTTCCTCTGCAGTTTGACATTTTGCAGCCAGCACAATAAGCTCTATTCACTCATTGCAGATTTTTTTTTGAAAAAAACAACAACTACACACACACACAGATATATCGCCACATCGACACGGAAGATGTAACGGCAAGCACCATCTCTGCCATCACAGAGCAGAAGATATTTGAGCAAGATTTTGTGGATGGCATTGTCAAATAGTAATGATCTTTTATACCACTTTCCCGAGCTTCTACCCTTTCAGAGACATAAATACAGAAGCAAGCCCTCTGTTTTGCAGCTTGCTTTCCTCGGCGTGCTTAAAAAAAAAAAGGCTATCCGGGTGTTTGTTCTGTAGCCGGTGATAATTGTTTCCCTTTGTAAATTATACCCTTTGCGTAGCATGTGCAAACTGTACGTCAGTGTCCTGACACTGTGATAAGAGGGGACACAGATTGCTTATAATCTCAGCAGTAAACAAGAAGCCCCCTTGCAAATGTGCTGAGTGACCTGTCTGGAGCCTGTCGTCTCTCTTGCAAGATCACCACCCAAAATTAAATCTAAAAGGAAGCTTGACCTTGTTTTATGGCGAGGAGTTCTGGAAACGCCATGGTAATAATAATGTAAATAGAAGAGCAGCATTGACATTAATCCCCACCCCCACAATGTCATTAAAGCCTCATTTATATCAGGCGCCTTCTCCTTAATTCGGTGAAGATCGCCTCTGCCATTCCGCAAAGCCAGACCAGAGTGTCGCAGTGTTTGCTGCTGCGTTTCTTGAGGGACCAGTGGATTCCCCTGTCTGCCTTCAGACAGCACCAGGTGCCAGTAGATCAAACTACCTTGCATGTTGAATTTGTGTGTTATCAAACGGAATCAGGGTTTGGAGAGAATAGGTGGGGGAAAGGAGGGAGAAGGAGAGAGAGGTAGTGAGCAGGCAGGGAGGGTGGGCCAGCTGGGGGAGAAAAAGTGATTGATGGTTTGCAGGACACCTAGGGTATTTCTTTCAGGGGGTATTACTTCCACTGTTAGCCAGGAACAAGAGCAGGGAGGAGGGGGAAGCGACAGGAGCTGACAGCCTGGTGTTGATCAAAGGGACATAGCACTGAATGCCTTCCTAGCTATTTATTAGAAAGACCAGGGAGGGGGGCGCTTTGCCATTCTAAGAGGGAAAGAGGGATTAAAGATAAAAAAGAGGGGAAGGGGCCTGTGAGGCTCTTTTGTTTATAAAATATACTTTTATTTTAAAAAAAGAGAGAGCTTTCACTAAAAGAAGAAGGGGAAAGCAACACTCTAACCCTTTCCCCCACCTGAAGTCCTTCCCTTATATTTCCAGTGGTCAGAATTTATGAATATGAACCACCATGCCAGCATTTTGTTTTTTTAAAAAATGCAGAGATGTTGCCCCCCCGGGGAAACCCAGCTATATGGGAAACGGTCTTTTAGCTTGATTAACCTAGGAAATAAAGTTTTAAAAGCACTGCTGGGATTCTATTAGGATCATCCATTCACACAATCAACAAGGAGGAGGGTTGGAGGGTTGAAAAACGCTTTTGGTCAGATCTCCTACTGTCAGAATGATGGGCTGATTCGGGAAAGGGGAAGCCGGCTCAGTTTCGGCGTTTCTTGGGCAAGCTACATATTACACTGCGGTCGTGTGCAACACAACCCCAACGGCCCTGTCCCTCTTGCAAAGTGGCTGTGAGAGGGGGTGCTCTAAAGCAAGAAGGAACAGGAGAGAAGGAGGAAGAATGTTGATCCTTCCCTTGCCAACTCATTTCCTCCAGAAACCCCCAAAGATGAGCTACCTTTTTCATCAAAAGCTGCATTACCTCAGGGGCTAACCTGTCACAGGCTGCATGCTGGCTGTGTTTGGGATAGCTCAGTTGGTAGAGTTTGAGATTCTTAATCTCAGGGTTGTGGGTTCAAGATTCCTGCATTGCAGAGGGCTGGACTAGATGACCCCCGATGTTCTATTCAGCTTTACAATTCTATAATTCTAAATTGAGCCAGAGATAACGATGAGTGAAGCCAGAGGCATAAAAACATAAGAAGAGTGCGCTGGGTGACCCATCTAGTTCAGCATCCTGTTCTCACAGTGGCCAACCAGATCCCTGTTGGAAAGGATTCAAACACACAAGAACTGCTCCTTGAATGAATATATATGGATTCCAAACAACTCAGCAGGGCTCTCATCACCTGCTAAAAATTGGTTGCGTATTAGACCACTGTCAAAGGCACAGTTACAATGGCTAGAGAAAAAGAGGACAGGCCTTCTAAGGAAGTCGGGGATGGGGATAGATGATTACAAAAACCATGCACAGCAGAGAGCAAATGATAGACAACGAGGCAAGACGGTAACAAGACCCCTAGATCTCAAAGTGACTCCATTATGACAAATGGTCAAGAATGTTCCACTGCCTTGCATTTGTCCACCCATCACTGAGCAGGCCTTAAGTACATTTCATTGCTTTGGAGTCAGATTTCATGGCAAAGTATCTGTGTTGCTCGTTTCGTAGATGCTACAACTAATTGAAACTGCTTAGGGTTACAGACCTGGAGTAAGGCAGTCAGGGCATCCTGGCTGAAATCCTTACCGGTAGGGGGAAAGAACGCCAAAAGTCTTTCTTTGTTCCCTTTTCAAATGAACGAACTTGAGAAAAGTGCTGGCTAACTATGTCTCCTTATGTATGCCACATTCTTGCTTCCCTCCCTTCCCTTTTTTGTTCTAATTTCCTTGTTTAGAAATCAAAGGAGATTCCCATAGACTGCATAATTAGCAGTAATATGCAGCCTTGCCTTCTTGAGGTGTATACACTTTCTGCATGAGCAGAAGTTTCCCATTGAATATATCTAGCAATCACCTGTGGATAGGCTGGTTAATTAACAGAGTTAGAACTCCATTTCATACCGCAGTAATTTGGACAAAGGTAATCATCCGCTGCAGTACGCATTCATTTAGGATCCCTTTTCAAGGTTATTTTAGCAATTATAATGCCAGAGAACATGTTGGTGAGCACTTTTGCTATTTCCTACCCTGCTTGATTTTCCTGAACGTTCCCAGCCTGTGGCTCATCTTATAATTAAACTATCACTACTTAGGCCTTCCTTGAGCACCACACAGGGCTGCAAAAATAGTGGAGCATCATCATTCTCGACCTGCAAATGACACATGATTGTAGTAGACACATGTGCTACTCAAGGGCTCAGTCTTGCTGCTATATTAAACCTAATAAAATAAAATAAAAGGGAAAGGACCCCTGGATGGTTAAGTCCAGTCAAAAGCAACTATGGGGTTGTGGCGCTCATCTCACTTCAGGCTGATGGAGCCGGCATTTGTCCATTGACAGCTTTCCGGGTCATGTGGCCAGCATAACTAAACTGCTTCTGGCACAATGGAACACCATGACAGAAGGCAGAGTGCATGGAAATGCCATTTACAGTACCTTCCTGCCACAGCAGTATCTCTTTATCTACTTGCACTGGTGTGCTTTTGAACTGCTAGGTTGGCAGGAGCAGGGACAGAGCAATGGGAGCTCACTCCCTCGCGGGGATTCGAACCACCTACCTTCCAATCAGCAAGCCCAAGAGGATCAGTGGTTTAGACCACAGCGCCACCCATGTCCCATTAAACCTAATGCTAGTAACTTGACTCTAAGCAACCCAGTTAAGTCTGGGAAAGTGAGTTGAGACTAAGGGTGTGTTCACATTATTACCTTATTGCTCAGGGAAGTTGTGTGGGGCTTCTTGCCTCTGCGTTTCACAGCTCTTTCCTTCCTAGCTGTTCATATCACCATAGCTTTGATTCATTTCTGTTTGTGGACACACCAAGAGGTGTACACACTGAGAGGTGTGCAAAGATGTTCACATCTTGGCTAGAGATGCAGCCTGTGCCACACAGGATGCATCACCTGAGATGTAGCAATGTGGCAATGAGCTGTTCCATTGTTAGCAGTGGCAGTAATAAGCGAGCGGTAATCTCATAGGTGTGGATCTTCCATAGTCTACAAGGGGTTGGCAGCCATTGATTACATTGAAGGTGGGTGGACCTCAAGCATGTGGGATCTGCTTCGTTTTCTTCCGAGAGCTCTGAAGTCCACCAACAGGATCCAGATGCAAAATACTGGCTCAGAAAGAAACAGGAACTGTGCAAGTGTTCAAAAGTAGGGTGGTTTGTTTATACGGCCTCGGTCCAGTATATCTGAAGGAGCATCTCCACTCCCATCATTCTACCTGGACACTGAGGTCCAGCACTGAGGGCATTCTGGCGGTTCCCTCAATGCGAGAAGCCAAGTTACAGGAAATCAGGCAGAGGGCCTTCTCAGTAGTGGCACCCGCCCTGTGGAATGCCCTCCCACCAGATGTCAAAGAGAATAACAGCTACCAGACTTTTAGACGACATCTGAAGGCAGCCCTGTTTAGGGAAGCTTTTAATGTTTGATGCATTACTTAATTTTAATATTGTGTTGGAAGCCGCCTAGAGTGGCTGGGGAAACCCAGCCAGATGGGCGGGTATAAATAATAAATTATTATTATTATTATTATTATTATTATTATTATTATTATTATTATATTCTGAAGAGGGTTCAGAAAAAAGGCTACTAAAATTATCCACTTGATATGGTAGAAGTGTATAAAATTATGCATGGCGTAGGGAAAGTGGATAGAAAACAGTCCCCCCCCCCCACCATAACACTAGGACTTGTGGACATCCAGTGACACGGAATATTTGAGGATTCAGAATAGACTAAAGAAGGTATTTCTTCCCACAGCTTGTAGTTGAAACTATGGAATTTGCTACCAGTGATCGCCATCAACCTGGATGGCTTTAAAAAAGGAATAGCCAAACTCCTCCAGATTTTGGAGGATAAAGTTGTCTGTGAGTCTTAGCTCTGATGGCTGCGCTCTGCTTCCATGGTCAAAGGCTGTATGCTTCCAAATTCCAGTTGCTGGAAACTACAGGAGGGGAAGAATATACTTGTGCTTGTGTCTTGCTTGTGGACTTCCCAGAGGCATCTGGTTGGCCACTGTAAGAATGAGATGCTGGACTAGATGAGCCATTGGCTTCATCCACCAGGCTCTTCTTTTGCAGGTGCAAATCAGCGTAGGAATTTGTTTTCTGCACCAAAATTGAGGTCACTGAAAAATCCATTCCTAGTTTTCCCTCAGGCTCTCTTTGTTTTAGCAGCTTAATGTGGGTGGGTGCAGTGGGTGGGTGGGGGGCAGTGAGTTGTGGCTATCAGAGATCCTTGGCGCTCTCCTGCAAATCTACTGGTGCTGTACCAGTGGATTCTGGTCTACCTTCTGCCCGACTCTGGTTTACATATTGAATCACCATATACACTGTTTATCATTGCGTTACTTACTCTACAACTCACTGAGAAAATGTAAGGTATGCTTCATAAGAGCTACTCCCAGTAAATGTTTGGCCACGACAAGCAACCAAGCCTAGCTTAATATTTATCAATGCATTACAAACATATTACATAATAGAGGCTTCATTAAATAATCCTGAACACATTGGCTTATTCATTGCATCATTTGGAACAATCTGCAGCAGAGAGATGCTTGATCCAAGGATGGGTTTGCCTAGAATAATTTATACACAAGTTATCCCTGCGGGCCTTACAAAGTAATGAGTCCTGTCAAATGCTGGCAAGCTTGCTTACTTTGTAAGTGAAAAGAAAGAAAAGAAAACAGAAAATTGTGAGCAGTGTCTCTTTAATTCTTTTGTGGAAGAGAGAATCATAAAAAAGAGCCTTGCTGGATCAGAATGGAGGCCCATCTAGTCCAGATTCCTGGTCTTAAAGTTTCCAACCAGATGCCTGTTGGAGGCCAGCAAACAGGATCCAAGCATAACAGCTCTCTTCTCATTTGTGGTTCCTACTAACTAGTATTCAGACTTTTCAGAGGTGCACTTTTATTATTTCCCAGGAAAACAACATCAACCCGCCCCTCGTCCCTGAAGGGATCAAATGCTTCCCCCAAACACCCATCCCTTAACATAACTCATCATAGCTGTGATGGGTGTGGGAGAAATTCTGTTTAATTTACATTTTTATGTGAACCTAGCTAAGTCATACTTCCTGAGACAATACACAAACTGAAGCACGGTTGACCTTCAGAACTTTCATTTCTCAGAATTTTGCTATTGAGTCTTGCAACCGAAGAGTGTGTACAAAACTGCGTATACTGGGGGGAAGTGTCCATAAAAATGCATGCGTTTGTGAAAATAACATACAAAAATTTGTAATATCAGGTAAAATGGCATACAAAAATGTGTCCCCCAAAACTTGTAAGGGCTTTGCTTTCTTTCTTTCTTTCTTTCTTTCTTTCTTTCTTTCTTTCTTTCTTTCTTTCTTAAAAAAAAAATGTAAACATGGGAATGTGAGAAACTGAATGAAGACCTGAAATGTCAGATTTGTCCATCCCTGGCAAAAGGTGCAGAACTAATTCACTAAAAAAGACAGGTAGTGTGATATAGTGGTTAGAGTGCTGGCCTACAACAGAGGGGACTGTTAAGTTGTGGGTGAACATATCAGACGACACAGCGATTCTTCAAACAGCTCTTGTTTATTCAGAGGCCGAAACAGAACTGAGCTGAAGGGTTCAGTCAACCTGCTTATATAGAGCTCCAGTACACATAATTGTAACAACTTTCTAAAACTATCCAATCACTGAACGTCACTTTCGATCCCTTATTTGCATAACTATCTACAGTATCCCCCTGCTGGCCCAGGGTGAGAACTTCAGTATATAACAGGGACCCAGGATCGAATTCTCCCCTCAGCTGTGAACATCCCTGAGTCATCATGGCTCATTCGCTTTCTTACAGCTTAATTTACCTCACGGGTTGTTATGAGGATAAAGTTGGAGGCAGGGAAGAACAGTGCACTGTACATTGTTTTGAGCTACTCCGGGTTGGGGGGGGGGGGAGGAGGGATAG